ATATGGCTTTACTTGGATGCAGTATATTTATAAAAACCAATAAATCAGAAAAAGTTGTTCCTAACTGTAGCACTGTCCTCTCGTTGTTTGATTTGCTCAAGCAGGCCCAGTAACGTCTCCATTGTGAGACTTGTTGTTACTGTGTTTGGCATATCAAATACGTCATGGTAGCTTGCCAGACTTTGTCGTGGGGGTGTGATACTCTCAGTAGCTTTCCAGGCTCTTGAGAGGGGCGGAGGAAATGAAACTGGGTCGGCCGCATGCAAGGCAAATTCGCTAATGCTGTGCTATCTCTCCAGCCCGGTTATAAACTAAAGCTCAAATTATGACTTCAAGAAAGGGAAAAGAATTAGTCCCTGGCGCTGGGCGCCGGGCAGTACCTGTTTGAATGAGGAGAGAATGCCTGGGGCACTACATCATTAATCATCAGGGAGATGCAGATCAAAACCACAACAAGATACCAGCTCACACCTCAGAGACTGGCCCACATCTAAAAGAACAAAAGCAACTGATGCTGGCACGGATGTGTCGAGAAAGGGACACTCCTTCACTGTTGGTGGGAATACCGACTGGTTCAGCCCTTTTGGAAAACAGTATGGACGATTCTCAAAAAATTAGAAATAGAGACCCCATTTGACCCAGCAATACCACTCCTGGGAATATATCCCAGAGAGGCAAAAAAGTATAGTCGAAGTGACATCTGCACTTGTTTGTTCATTGCAGCACTCTGTACAATAGCCAGAATCTGGGAAAAACCTAAGTGCCCGAGAACAGATGACTGGTTACAGAAACTTTGGTACATCTACACAATGGAGTACTATGTAGCTGTTAGAAAAGATGAAGTCATGAAATTTACATACAAGTTGTACTACATGGAAAGTATCATGTTAAGTGAAATGAGTCAGAAAGAGCAGGATAGACACAGAAAGATTGCATTCATCTGGGGAACATAAAGCAACAAAATGGGAGACTAACACCCAGGAGTGGCCGAGATTTGTACCGGGAATTTTGCTCCATGACTTGGAGACCAGCTACACGTGCTACGGGAAGGGGAAGCTCAGATAGAGAAGGGAGCACCAAATAAAGGGTGTTTGGAGGATCCTCCCAGGATGGGAGATGCATGTTGAAAGTAGACTATGGACCGAACATGATTGCCACTCAATGCCTTTTTTACAGACCACAACACCCAGAAGGATAGAGAGAACAAAAGGGAATGCCATCCCACAGAGGCAGGGTGGGATGGGGGGGATGGGGTGGGAGAGATACTGGAATCCATAGTGGTAGAAAATGGGCACTGGTGGAGGGATGAGTATTTGAGCATTGTATAATCGAAACCCAATTCTACAACTGTACCTCATGGTGTTTCACTAATATAAATTAAAAAAGGGGGGAAAGAATTGATAAAATTGGTTCATTCTAGAATTTAATTTAATTTTTTAAAAATAACTTTATTAGATCATTATTTTAGTTTCAGACATTAAATATTCCAACACCAATCCCACCACTAGTGGACCTTTCCACGACCATTATTTTCAATATTTCCAACCACTCCATAGCCTGCCCTCATACCAGGCGTCAATAGTTTATTTTATATTTTGTTGTTATAATTTGCTAAAAAATTATGATAAAAATGTTTCTTTAGAAGAAAGTTAGTGAATATTGCTGTACCTCAAAGTGGAGACCTTATACCCTTGTATTGCCAAAAAATTGTAGAAGGCTAAACCATCTGTGGTTACATTTGGTTGATTGAAATTGATTGCCTTCTACACTGCATCCCATCCAATCTGTTGTGATTCTCTTGGTTTATCAGTTTTGTAGAGTTTGAGATATTGCACAGCCAAAATTACAACTATGCACTCCAGAGTGTCCAACATTTCTAATGCGGTAATACAGCTGAAGTTAAATTTTGGACAGACCAGCGGCTTTGCACCAGTGGACATGTGCATGACTGCCTGGGCCTCTGAAATACAGGGATATGGGGGAAGGTAGCCCATCACTGACAACCTGAAAATAGGAAATTTCAGTCACAAATCCTCATATCTGAGTGTTTTAACAGATGAATTTCTGCATGAGGTTCAACTGAGCAGTGGGTTCCAGCTGGAAGCATGGCAACGGTTGTGGATTGTGGGATTTTTCAACTGCTGGGGCTCTATTTTCGCTTGTGTAGGGGCTCACCGCCCCACTCTGGATTCCCTTGGAATGACTCAGACTTGTGCAGGATCTAGAGAAATTCTTTCAATTGTAGATATCTTTCAGGATTTATTTCTGAATCTCTGGATCATGACCAGTGAAAGAGCATAGATGTTCCCAGAGTTGCCCCATTCACTCTAACATTAAAATTTCTACCCATATTCAAATATAAAACTCATCAGAATTTTGCATTTATTTTTACATTTTTGAAAGAAAATCTGAATCAATAATTCCTGACAATTCCACAAGAAAAAACTTCTCCTCCTCTTCCTCATCTTCCCCATCCTTGGCATCACAGTCCACTCTGCCGCAGACATCACTGGCTTGATGACTTGGCCATAATCTATTTTTTTAAATTTAATTTTATTTATTTTTTTATTTTAATGAATCATCATGAGATACAGTTACAGACTTACAGACTTTTATGATTCCATTTTATACCCATCCCTGCACCACTGCCCATTCTCCACTACCAATGTTCCCAGTATCCGTCCTCCAACCCCAACCCATTCCCACTCCTGCCTCCCTGGTAGGCACATTCTCTCTTACTTTTTCTGTACTTTTGGATGTAATGGTTTGCAATACAGGTGTCAAGTGTCCATCATGTTTAGTCCATAGTCTTCTCTCAGGAACCATATAATATTCCTAGTGATCCCTCCAACCATAATTTACTTAATGCTCCTTTCTCTAACCCAGCTACCTTTCTCCCCAGAATATGAGATCAGCTGCCAAGCTGTGGGGCAATCCTCCTGACCCTTATTTCTAATGTCCTTAGGTAGTAGTCTCATATTATGTTACCTTATATTCCACAAATGAGTGCAGTCCTCCTATGTCTGTCCCTCTCTTGCTGACTCATTCCACTTAGCATGATACTCTCCACGTTGATTCACTTATACGCAAATTTCATGATCTCATTTTTTCTAACACCTGTATAGGTTTTCATTGTGTAGATAAACCAAAGTTTTTTTAGCCAGTCATCTGTTCTCAGGCATTTTTTTCCCAGATTCTGGCTATTGTAAGTAGTACTGGGTAAACATACAACTGCAGATGTTATTTCTACTGTACTTTTTAGCATATATATATATATATTCCTTTGATATATAATCCTAGAAGTGGTATTGCTGGGTCAAATGGAAGCTCGATTTCTCATTTTCTGAGAAACGCCCATATTGTTTTTTAAAAAAGGCTGAACCAGTTGACATTCCTACCAGCAGTGAAGGAGAGTTCCTTTCTCCCTGCATCCATGCCAACACCGGTTGTTTTTGTACTTTAGGATGTGTGCCAGTCTCTGTGAACAAATAATATCCCACAGTTGTCTTGATCTGCATTTCCCTGATGATTAGTGATGGAGAGCATTTTTTCATGTGCCTTTTGGCCCTTAAGATTTCGTCTTTGAGAAAGTTTCTGTTCATTTCATCACCCCATTCTCTGATGGGATTGGATGTTTTCTTCTTGTAGAGTTCAACCAGTGCTTTGTATATCCTTGATATTTACCCCTTATTGGAGGGGTATTGGGTGAATATCCTTTCCCATTCTGTAGACTGTCTTTGTATTTTGGTCACTGTTTCTTTTGAGGTGTAGAAACTTCTTAGTTTAAGACAGTTCCATTTGTTTATCTCTGTTTCCACTTGCTTGGTCAATGGCGTTTTGTACTTGAAGATATCTTTAGCTTCAATGTTGTAGAGGGTTTTTCTGACATTTTCTTCAATGTGCATTATGGATTCTGCTCTGATGTTGATCTGACTTTTGTGCGTGGTGTTAGCTAGAGGTCTGAGCCCATTTTTTTTGCATGTGATTGTCCAGTTTTGCCAGCAGCATTTGTTATAGATACTTTTCTTTCTCCACTTCGCATCTCTTGCTCCCTTACCAAAGATTATATAGCTAACATAAGCTAGTACATATAGACTTTGATTTGTGATGCTGTACTCCTGAAAAATGTAATGTTACAATGGAAACTGCTTAAGACTTTTGAAAAAACTTATCTATAAAATCTCATTATTTTATACAATGGCATTTTAGAATATAGCTTAATGGTATATTTTATACAATGGTATTTTAGAATATAGCTCCACTACCTCTACTACCCAGCCACTGCCACACTCCAGGATGCTTTCCATATGCTCGGGCCAAGACTCACGCATGAGTAAAGCCCCACAGAACAAGATAAACAGAACTCTGAGACCTTGAACTTCAGGCTACATGGACCCAGGGACAAAGATCCTCTGCTTGCTCCCACAAACCACAGGTGATGAAGGGATTAAAACCGGGAGCCCCACCCTACCCTGCCTGTCTGTTTCTACCAACCACTCACCCTACTGGTACCAGATATATACCTTACCTGCAGTTCTACACTACCTCCACTACCCAGCCACTGCCAAGCTCCAGGACGCTTTCCATACAACATACAACACTTAATACCCATCTTCCAGGATTGCCACACCATATTTGATAGGGCTCAAATATAGTTTGAACCATGGGAACATATATAAAGGCAATTAGAGGCCACCTCAAAAGCTTCTATCCCTCTCAGAGATCCTGGCAAGCTATCGAGAGCATTCTGCCCGCACAGCAGAGCTTGCCTGGCAAGCTATCCATTGCATACTTGATATGCCAAAACCAGTAACTACAATGGGTCTCATTCCCCTGACTATGAAGGAGTCACCAATATGGAAACGTTCAGAAGCAGGAGGAAGGAGAGGGTGATAAAATCTCAAGTCTGAACTAGACTGCCAAACTGGAGAAAGACAAAAATGATTGTCTGTACTTTCACTGCACGTATGCTGGCATCAGATGCATCCACCGGGGACCTGATGGTACAAGCACGGAAGATCAAGTATGACGTCACTGGTCTGACTGAGACAAGGAGGTATCAATCACATCACGCCAGTTTCGACACTGAAAAAGAACTTTTCCTTAAAACATGTGACAAAAAAAGCATCGGAGGCGTCAGTGTCCTTGTCAAAACGAACATGGACATGAGCATTGATTCATTTGAATGACTAACAACCCGAATTGGATGGCTCATTGCCAGCAGTTTATATCTTCATTGTCTATGTACCAACATCCAATTATGATGGAGGAGAAATTGAGAAGTTCTATATGGAGCTGGAGAAGCTCTATAGAGACGACCACACCTTCTACAAGATCATTGTCGGTGATTTTAATGTCAATATAGGACCGAGAAGATCAGCTGAAGAACTCCACATTGGGACCCATGGCCTAGAATGGAACGAACAGGGTGAGAGATTGTCTTAGTTCATCATGCCAACTAAGACCATCCATGGTAACTCACAGTTCCAGTAGGCCGAATCTAAATGTTAGACATGGGAGTCTCCCGGTGGACAGTTCCACCACAAAATTGACCACATTGTTTTCAATCAATGGTTTTGCCTGACCAATGTTACCGTTGTCCCAAAATTCCAAACGGGATTGAACCACCATCTTCTTCGTGCAAAATTCTACTTCACAGAACGGGAAGAAAAGGCTGCAAGGTTTAAGAAGAGAACTCCCAGAACGACCAACTGGGAGCTCTTTGGCACTACTGCTGCAACATGGAAAGATGCCGTCATTGACAACATTGACAAGGAATACGATCAACTGGTTCAGCAACTCCATGATTGTGTGAGGAACGCAAAGAGAAAAATGGCCACAAAAGAAAATTCTTTACTTATTCACCAACGTGATTTGGCACATGCCTCAGACAATCACAAGCAGACTTCTGAGCTCACAAAGCAGTACAGAGATGAGAGAAAAGAAGACCTCAAAGGGAGAAGAGCATTGGTGCTGGCAGATGTGGCAAGAGCTGGGAAAAGCATTCACAATGCCCACCTGTCATTAGCCAACTACAAGACCAAGATGACTGCCCTCCAACATTCTGATGGATCTATCACATCTTCCAGAAGGGCAATGGAGAATATTATTCATGACTTCTACTTGTATCTCTTTGATAGCCATGTCCACCTGCCCACATATCAAATTCCGCAGGGTGGATAAGTCGTTCCCAAAGTCCTCCCTTCCGAAATCTGACATGCCATTTTATCTGTAAAGAAGTGAACAGCACATAGCCGAGACAAGGTCAGATGTGAACATCTGAAGAACCTGCCATCAGTACTCATCAATACACTGGCTCAGTTCTTCACGCACTACCTGTCTGAATGCAAGGTTCTGTCCCAATGGAAAACCAGCAGGACCATTCTACTGTACAAGAAGGAGACATCCACAACATTGGCAACTATTGCCCGATCTGCCCTCCCTACAAGCTGGTCAAACTTCTTCAAGTCCCTGAATGATGGTTTTGATGCTATTCTTGTTCCTAGAATGAACAGATGCCTTTGGGCTACACTAGCGCACACGACAGAGACAAATGGAGACGTTACTTGCACCCTCTCAAGCAAATCAATGATTAACAGGAAGTCAAGTGATCAAGTGATCAAGTGATCAATCTTAATTAAAATTATTCTGGCTTTTATCTTTTATTTCACAGTAATTATGATAGGTTCTAGTAGAATTAGATATAAAATGCAAGCCTTACAATTTCTGTTTTTCATTCAATAATATATATGTATATATATATACACTTATAGTTTTAACTCATATAATGTCATATTTTTTGCAATTTTTGTCTTATATCATGACACTAAATATTATTTTTAATTGAAAGTTCAGTTGGAGATCATGGGAATTATTTCAGTTTACAAAAGTAGTTGACACTTTTGTGATACTTAAAAATGTTTAAAAGACACAGCACATTTGAGAACATTGAAGGGCATTAAGTTGTCCTTCAATGGAAAATTTCTCAACACTAAATCTTCTCTAAGGCATTTAGACATTTAGACTTGTTTTGGCTCGGTGCCCCAATTTCTTTCCAATTGTTCTTATACTCTTCAGTTGCTCAAATTGAAAGTTGTTTCCTTACATTTTAGTGTTTCTCTGTTGTAGAAATAAGTAGAATAGCTAACCATACTGGTTATAAATACTTTTATCATTCAAAGCTTAAGTAAAAAGCCTCCACAGTTTAGACTAAAAGAAGGTTTTACAGATATTTGCAGCTTTTAGGTCTTTCTTATTGTGCAGAGGCAGATTCTAATTTAAGGCAGTCATTCTACTTAAGCTGATATATGGTACTGCCCTTAGAAGTGCAATTAAGCTGTGTTAGTGGAGAGGTCATGTCAGAAATCATGGAAATTAAACATTTATACCATTAGATAAAAAATGATTTGTGCATCACACTGATGATCCTCCATTTATACAATTACCCAGTCCTTAGTTTGCTTGCTTCTTAAAATATAAAAACCATTAATAGAGCAAAAATAAGTTTAAAATGAGCATTAGATGCAGTTTCTAATGAAAAATGTATTAGTCCATGCTAATGCAAGCAAATAGAAGTTAAAAAGATCAGGGTAAGCACAATCAGCTGCAATAGAGTATAATCATTCATGAAATTCCTAGCAGTTGAAAAATCAATGTTTCCAAAGGCTTGGAGATTTTAGCAAATTGTGTGAACTACAAAAATCTAAGTCCATACTTTGCCCTGGGGCAATCTTTTCAGTTCTGAACATTACATTTTAATAAAAATATTGATCTTTTTGCATGCATACAATAAATAAATCAAATATATTTCAAATGCCTATGTGCCATGGTAGACATTGGACAGTAAACCAATAATTAAGAGTTCATATTTTATGCTCTTGAAATCTAAAATCTAGTTAAAGGAGTCAGACAAAAAATAAATAAATCACAAAGAAAATTAAAATGATAAACTGATGCCTTTTGGGAAGCCTAAGGAAAATAATCAAGAAGATTGAAAATATGAATTAATGAATGAAGATATGAAATGCTGAAAGGTTTACATCAGAATAATATAGTAGAATGTTGTTTCAGGTATAAGACACCAGCTGATTCTGGTTATTCTTTTTGTAAGGAATTTCTTTGAAACCAGAGATAAGATGTGTAAAGGTTTTAGTTTAGAATGCAGAATTGCCTAGTCTCTGACTCTTGGGACTACGTGTACATAATCTTAAAATTAACCTCATAATGAATAAAGGCAACAATCGCGAGGCACATTATTAGGTTCTTAAGGAGAAAAAACTTCTAATTTTTCCTTCATAGCTTTACTGGTTAAGTATGTGCAAAAATTCTTTCCAAATTATTAGCCACTTTTGTGCCAACTTATGTGCATCGTTATGTCTGCTAAAATTTATTTAATTTAATTTTTTTACATATCTCACCTATGTATGAATAAGATATGAGGGAACCTTTTGTTGGCAGGTTTAGTTTATTTTTGTCAACACTGGAAAATCACCTGTCAAGAATTTGGCACTGTTTTACAACATTGGAAAAAGATGGCTAAATTTACTTTTAAATTAAGTCTTATTTTAAATCCACCATTTTCATTAAGGGCTCAATTAAACAAAATATAACAGTGTATTGAATCAATATAGTAATAAAAATGTAAGGAATAAGATTAATACATGTTATCAAAGAATTCATCTGATAAAGAATACCACGATAATCTAAAGTATAACAGACTTTTCTGTTTTTATCTGTACGAATTAATCAATGCCATATCTTCAATATGTCATGTTATTCAGGAAAATTTTGATAAAGAAGATACATATATCAAATAACTTTATTGTTCAGAGAAACTCAACTGAATAATCATTAATATTTTCCATTTTAAATGAATAATTATTGTTGCCACAATAATATCACACACACAAATATACTCATTGTAGGCAAGAAGTAAACAAACACTGTCCTCCCCTTGTTCATCGATTTGCTCGAGTGGGCCCAGTAAAATGTCTTCATTTTGAGACTTGTTATTAATGTGTTTGGAATACTGAATATGTCACGAATAGTTTGCCAGGCTTTTCTGCACAGGCGAGATACTCTTGGTAGCTTGCCGGGCTCTCCAAGAGGGGCAGAGGAATTGAACCCGTCTAGGCCTGGCTAGCTGCTTGCAAGACAAATTCCATATCGCTGTGCTATTGCTCCAACCCAAGAAGTAAAATATGTACGAATATTAAAATGATTAAATCTGCGTCACCAAATTTCTTCATCTATATACTTCTATACCTATACTTATATATCATAATAACTCAATCAGAAAATAGATACAAATACATATCATTGCACAATTTACTAAGAGGTATTGGTAAACATGGATGGAAAGAGAAATATTCTACTTATTTTTCCTTTACCTTTAATGATTTATTCTCATATCGCTACAACACACAAAAATATTTGTAAAGAAATGATAGAAGAGAGGAAAAAATTCATTGGACAAGAATTCTCAAAGTCATTCCTTACTTCTAGTGGAACAGATGGTTATATTGAGTTAGAAATTCTAGGACAGAAAATTTTAGGACAGATATACAAATCTAACATGTATTAACTTCACACGCTACTCATAAAGCTTGCAGTTCTCCAAGAGGGATGGAAAACCACTTTGCTAAGCATTTGTGTGTGTGTTTGTGTGTGTGTGTGTGTGTGTTTGTGTGCCTATTGGGAGAATAACTGGAGAGTGAAGACAAAATTATCATAATCACCCAGAGCTAATTATCTCCTTCAGTAAACAGGAATTTAGCAGAAAGAAAGTTAAATGAGAAAATAGATAAGGCAAAATACTCTAGGGGAGTGTGAAGGACAGGGAAATGAAGTACTCCAAAAACTCAGTTGGAAACCTTCTCTCCAGCTGGACACTAACAATGCCATGACCTCCAAATCCTGTAGTGCCAGCTGTTTCATTCAAGAATCTGTAAAGAGACTGACTCTCTTGAAAATGAGTTTGTGAACTTTTGTGGCGATAAGGGGAGTGAAATAGGATAGAAATATTTCCACAGCTGAGTGAATCTTTGGGAGACCTTCAAAAGGAGCAAAGAATCTGTGGTATAGATGCACAGAAGGGTACAAGTTGGATATGAGAAAGAAATATTGCCGTTGGCTGCAACTTGAATGCAACTGGAGGAAGTCAAGCTAAGCGATGTGAATTACAGAGAAAAACAAGGAACAGATGATTTACTCCTTTGTGGAGTATAAAGAAACAAAGCAGGTGATGGTCCACCTAATGGAAGTAACACTGAGCTAAATTGAATCTGAGAGTGCTAGTGAGAGTTATTGGAATCTTGAAAAAATGGTAGAGGAATCCTAACACTCAGATGATGAACATAGCATAGAGTCCTGCAAGTTCAAAATAATAACATCTTACAATGGTAAGAAAATTAAGATTTTAAAGAGGGTGAGGATTCAATGGGAAATACTATAGTCTACATGAAATATTTAGCTTAATCTGCAGAAAGAGTGGAGTCTAGAGGTTAGATAAGGGCAATTACCTCCCAAAGATCGATGATTAACTAAATAGTAAGACCAATATGCTAGAAGGCTTAGGATATTTAATAAAGTAAAATTGTCCTTAAAATACATTTTCAATGAATCATATATTATTGATTTGATTTAAATCAATAATTTAGTGCATTAAAATCATCAAGAAGTTTATAGTTTGAGGATATATTTTATAGTTAGGGGAGAGTGTTTTTGGAGGTGACAATAACTGATAAAACCTCAATGATGTATAGTCAGAATGATATTTTGATGAGTTTGCCATGAGGATATTCAAAATCATGACATTATTGAAGAAATTTTGTTTGAAATATACTTAATTGACTTTTATTACTGATATTACATTTACAGGAAATAATCAGAAGCTCCTTAATTATAGGTTATTATATAAAGTATTTCTTCACAAAACTGGGTGATTTTTGTTTTAATTTTACTACTACTACTACCACTTTGACTACTACTTTGACTATGACTTTGACTACTACGACTACTACTACGACTACTACTATGACCACTGCTACTACTATTTGCTTTGGGCACAAACCTGGCTGTACAAAAGGCTTACTCACTCTTTGCTATACTATCTTTCTGTTCTTCTCGCATATATTATTAATGCCCTTCATTTGTACTATCTCCGTGGCCCCATCA